TCTGCTTGAGTCTTGCACACTACAGTAGGGCTGTTTCTAACAACTTTCTGAATGATGAAGTGTAATTAGCATTTTTTACAATGTCTGAGAAAGGGCATAGGAATTTAAGTGAAATTGTGTTTAAACAACATGGTCCAAGAAGATCTGCAATACGAATGACTGCCGGTTATGTGGGACTGTGTGTCTTCGTTGTTTTACCATATTTAGTTGGGCACCGCCATAAGGCCATGTATATACACCATGTATATACAAGGCATATCAAAAAGGCTACGGGCTACTGTGCTGTTGCTTGTGCTGTTGCTGTTTATATACTTTGAAAACAATCTTTTCCTACATGTCTTGAAAAGGTGATTTACTGCACTGCAGCAGTATTTCTCATCCATGGATTTAATTAATAAAATATACTTGCCAAGAACCAGAAGGTTAAAGATGCCAATAGAGACAAATGCAGGTCTCTAGAGAAACAGGCTGGTAGCCTAGAAAAGCATGTAAACCCAGCCCTGCAGAATAATAAGCACTGTCAGAAACTAACTTCTAAAAATTTTTAGATAAGGATAGAATTACACTAAATTCTTTGCCTCAGCAGAAGCATTTACATGGATTGTTGAAGACATTGGTACATTCACTTTGTTGAATTAGCTGTGCTGTGTGGTCTGTAGCACTTCCAGGTGTTTATAGAATCATAGAATCATTATGGTTGGAAGAGATGTCAAAGATCATCAAGTCCAACCGTGACTTTATGTTGATAAACTTTATGTTAATAACTTTATGTTAATTTGTTACCCTTTAGCTCGTTCTATCCGGATGGAGTGTGGTCTGCCATCGTGAAACTCGCCAGCTTCTGGTTTGATGGTGATTCTGTGGGGATCCCGTATCCCCGTGGAGATATGCACTTCCAGTCGACCTCTGTTCAGGAACACTGCATAATAGGCCTGCAATGTGTATGTTGGCATGAGAAGGTAAGCGACATTTGGAAGGAAATGATTTCACTTAGGTTTACATTAATGTGTATGTTTTATTTTCTTACACCAGTTTTTAATCTGCTGACCATAGACAAGATACTGTAGTTTCAGTTCTGCTGCTGCTACATTCACACTCTTGTATTTTTGTAACAAGGAAAGGGTCATGCTGGAAAGCCTCATCAAAAAATTTAACTCTTTGCATACCTATTTGCAGGGAAGGATGGAGACTTCTGACCTACAATAATTCTGATTTTTGTTGTTACAAGGCGTGGTCTTAAACTCATCAAGCCCTGAATAGCATTTATCTCAGTGTGAGTTCTGTGTTTGGGAGGGCTGGCAAATCAGCCTAGTAGTTACTCTAGCAACCAATACTGTGTTGTAGTGGATTTCAGGATCTAACCTCCCGTTACTATAGCAATGGGTGTCACGCTCACTTCTGTGACCCGAAGAGCTGGGAAATGATAAAGGAGCCCCTAAGCTGAAGTTAATGTCATGCGAGTGAGCCATTATAATGCGCTTGTCCCTGGAGTGTGTTCCTCCAGGTCACTGAGCTCTCTTCTAAAACAGGCGGGAAGGAGAATAATGAAATATCATTTCCCAGAAGTCCTGAACAAAGAAAGTACCAAAATATTCTGTTCATCCCTGTTGTCATATGTCTGTCTGTGAGGTTTTTAATTAATCAAGATTTGAATGATGTCTAACACGAATCACACTTTTACCGGTTAGTCACTTCAACTCCGTAGGTACTTCCTCTGAACAGACTGACTCTATCCTCTTCTTCAGAAAGGATTTACACTGCAGATTTGTATTTTACAGGACAGAAGGAGAGGATGGAGCACTCTTAAGTCTTATATCCCACAGCAGTGATCCCAAACAAGGGGCTTATCTTGCACTGGTTTTAGCAGGGGTTTTGGTTTGTTTTTTTTTGGTCTCAGGGAAACAGAATGGTCTTCATTTATGTCTGTATGAACTGGAATGAGAGATGTTTCCAGGTATTAATAATGCATAAGTAGTCCTCTGAATGAGTGAAGAACAGTATTCTCTAATATTCAGGTTTGATTAAAAAAACAACATGGAAGCATCTATATGATAGAAAAACAAATCTGTGTTGTTTAGCAACAAATAATGGATGCCTTACTGTAAGTCTTCAAGAGAAATAGTTACTCCAGTGCAAAAAACCCAGCCTCTGTCAGATTCTCCATCAGATAAAGGATAACATTAGCAATAATTTATTCCCAAGCACTGAATTTTAACTTAAGTATAAACATCTGACAGTGTCTCAAAACAAACCAAGTGGAAGAAGTTCAGTAAAATTGTGGGTTTGCTTTATCTTTTGCTAGGTTCCTGGTACCTGTCCTGTCTGTCTGCGCTTTCTCCTCAGAGGGGCAGCTTTCCTTCCAGTCTGCCTGCGCTTTCTTCTGGGGGGGACAACTGTGCCACTTGTGCCAAACAAGATGATCCCAGAGTCATTCTTGGTGCTGAAGGAGAGGTTGATTTCTGTGCCCATGTCAAAGGAGACAGGTTGCAGTTCCACGAAACCTGGCTTGGGGAAGCTAACGGTATAAATCTTCTGTGGGAAGAAGACAGGAAGATGCATTAGTAGGGTTAAAAGTATCAACATGCAGAAAGATTTCTTAACTAAAACAATAAACTATGTAAATTTAACTAGTGTGAAGAGATGGAAAGTAATAATAAACACTAAGCAATTTACTTCTCAAAGTGTTGTGCAAACACTAATTTACCTGTTTACACCTCGCATCATTAAAGTATTTCTGGAAGCTTGTCTTACAGGAAGGCAAAGTTCCAGTCTTATTTTGGTATATCCTCTTGGATCAAAAATAACTGCTCACAGGTGGTTTTTTACATGAATATTTTCCATTGAGTTAATACACTGGGATTTTGCTTTTAAATCAATACAATAGATAACAACAGCCAATAGGAACATAAACTGGATTCTATTATTTGTCAAATGTACCCAGAAATACTTTTCATTAATCAGTCATTATTGCTTCATCACTATCGCTTCACTAAGCATCACTGCTTCTTGATGACTCAGGCTCATAAATGAAGCACTCGTTGCGCATGGCCCAACTCTTTGGACACTGGTAGCCATTAACAAAATTTAAAGAGGAGAACATGTCATCAAATAATAAATCAGTGCATACTCCTGAAGATTTTCTGTACTTGCTGCCACTTCATGTATTCTTCCAGCTGTGGAAGACCAGTCTGTAGAAACAGTGACTTTTTCTAAAGTAATTCACCATTTTTTCCGTACAGTAGGACTGTTTTCAGGTCCAGAGGTAATAGATTACACCAGGTAAAATCATTGCTGATGATGTTCACCTTTCTCTGAAATCTGAGGGCATTTAAGTAATCGAGCATGTATCCAGTCTTTACCTTTTTCTTTTACTTCACTTTTTATTTATCCTACATATCCTGTTTTGTACAATTAGAATATTTTATTTAATTCCGCAACAAAATGATTAATCCAATTAGACTTCATACTCTGAAACCTCAAGTGTTACAAAATAACATGAAAAACAAAGTACTTTCCAAGATTCATAGCAACAGAAGAAAATGAACACAACTACCCTTCTTTCCTATTCAAGAAAGAATCTACAATAAATGAAAACAAATATGAACTGCTGTAGAAAAGTTTTGCTGAAACCAAATTTGTAAGACTTAAAAGCATTTGAGCAATCTGGTTGCTTACAGTTTAGCATTATCACAAACTAGAAAACTTAAAAATGGCCATCTCATGACAGATCCATCTAATCCAATATCCTGAGAGTCCTATTGTTGTGTGCTTTTTGCTCTGATGAAGGCTAGAGGTACAAGTGATAAACACAGCAAAAGAGGGTCCTCATCTTTATTTTGGCCTGGCCAAGTTCCAGCCACTGTTCAAAGGAAATTTGTAATGTTTTGTAGAAAAAATGTTTGGAGAGCATCAGGTTAACGACGACTCATTTGGATTTACTGTAGTGGTGTCTGATATGGAACTCTAGATCACATGTCTGCTGGCAAAACTGTCTTAAATTGTAGACTTTTCCAGGGAAGAAATACAAACTATTTATTGGGAGACAAATGTCACTTGAAATATTTTTTTATATACGAAGACTCTTCTTTTCCATGGAAAATTACTATATTGTCTCCCAAACTTGGGATCAGATTCCTTGAATTTTGTATGCATTAAAAGCCTGTTAATTAGAAACAGTAACAACTGACTATAAATAGACTTGAGTTGTATTTAAAGTTAAAATAACAACACCAATTTTGCATATTCTCAGTGATCAGTAAGAAATGTGCCTTCCAGCTCAGTGGTAGCTTGTAACAGTAAGTGCTGTACAGTTCCTATCCTAAAGGTGACTTTGTTTCAGTTATCCCCAAATATATGGTGATTTTCAAAGTACCTCAGGTTTTCTGTAGTGAATGATATTACAATAACTATATTTTTTAAAAAAATTAATTTAAATCCTTGGATTATGTGCATAAAAATTTTTAAGTTTTTTGCAATATTTTCAGTGCCTAATTCTATCCTTATTAATGTCAATAGTTCCCATTTTACTCTGCTGAAACAAAGCTAGACCACAGCTAAACAGTTCAGAAAATCCTACCTTTTAGGGACAGGGATATCACAACTGGCCAGGGATACTCTCCAAGAAGTTAGGATCTGGAAAACTGGTCTACTTGCTGATCAGATTCATTCATCTTTCTCTTAAATGTAACTGTTCTGATTTTCAGGTTAGATCCCTATGTGTGTCTGAATATGCATTATACAATTAATATGTTACGCTATAAAATCAGAAACCAGAAAACATTTATACCCATTAACACCAAAATACATGGAAGTCAGACTAACCTCTAGTGTGCATCCTTTGGTTAGACCAACAAAATCAGGACTACTCAAAATATTATATGGTGTCCTTGAAATTTCAATCTCTTTGAGGCAACCTGTATATTTCTTTAAGTTCACTTCAGGCCTAAAAAAAATTTAGAAGTACAATATGTTTTCAAAAATAGAGTTTAGAGAGAACAGAGTCAGCCAGACACACACATATGCACTTTCAGATGCACAGATGCTGGTGGGGTTTTTTTTTGTTGTGTTTTTTTTTAAAATACACACATACACTCGAATACATCTTGCCTTCTACCACCTATCAGCACATACTGCATTCTGTCTTGCATCACTCAAAGGTGTAACAGGAGATTCATCTGATCTCCAATTAACAACAGTCCTCTTTTCCATTTTTTCTTTCTTTAGTGTTTTTTTTTCTTTTTTTGGGTAAAGGATTATTGTCACCTTTGGTGTGTTTAAATGCAGTGAGCTATGAAATAAGTAATTAGTTGTCCTTTAGGCAAAGCAGAAAGATGCAAGCTAGGAAATCATAATAAGGAGAGACCTTAACTGGAAGAGAGATGTTTTATTCTTCTTTTTGCATGCTAGATCCTAATGAAAGAGGAACTTTAGCAGCATAGAAACATTTTGGATAAAGTCTTTTCTAAGGACTGAAAAAAATTTTCATTTGATTTTTTTTTAACGCTTTAGGGATTCTTTATGTTCAGGTGGTCTGACATTTGTTTTCTATGTATTTTATATTCCCAGTATCTTTCCTATGAAAACTGCTGCATATTTTCTTATGACACAGCAATACATTTTACTTTCTCAGGCAGTTAAACAAAACAAAACACTTGGGTTTGTTACAGAACTTACAGAACTATCCATCCAAGACAGGAAAATATTGTAATAGAATTGCAAAGTTCCATGGTTTGGCTCATCAGCTGGTTGACAGAATCAATGAGAAAAACCCCTGAGAGTAACACCAAAGCTAGCATGCTTGAATGCAAAAGTATGATTCCTCAGCCCAGGGAACACCAGAGTGAGACCGTAACTGCTGGCAACATCTGAATCAGGCTTCCAAAAAGAAAAGCCTTATAAAGTCACTTCAGAAAAAAAGTTACCATTCATACCATGGAGAGTAAATCCAAAAAGAAAAAAAAGCACTAGTTACTTCACTCACAGTATTACCCATATGTGTTTTCTAGAATGTCTGAATAATATGAACAGCTCAAAGAGAGAAAAATGAATTTGGAAAATAAAGGAGGAGTTAAAATTGTGGAGAGAAAAAAACCCCAAACACTTCAGCATCCTGGAAGGAAAGAAAAGATTTTAAAGAATATTAATTACAAAATAAAACCATTTTGCACAGATACTATTCAGCTGCATGTTTTGGTACTGAAAGCCATTCTTTGCATTATAGCCATCCTAGCAAGCGCAGTGTATTCTCTAGCAAATTAGCATCCTCTACATCAGTTAGAGTAAGCATTTGGTTTACTAAGATAATCCATATTCTGCTTTATTTACAGCCATGTAGCTATGGTCACCTTTCATTTTTGATTTTTTAGTTCCTAGCTCTTCCCCCTTTATAGACTAATCTTCCGAACAGCAAAACAGTTTTGCCATATCATTGTCACCAGTGCCCACAGTCTCCAGTCTTTGCCATCCAGAAACCATTCACGTTCCTACCCCCTTCCTGCCCTGTCCACTTACAGACTGCTCTCATGCTGTCCCGTTACAAGCAGTTGCTGTTAGCTTGTAATTCCCAGCCCACATGAACTCTACATCCTTGCAAACATTGAACACTTGCTTGATGTTTTCTTAAGACTTCATTTTTCCCTTGTTCCCTTCCAAAACATACAACATCCAAGTTCATTCAGATCTTGCATAAATTCTTGGCATTGTGTTTTGGTTTGGGGTTTTTTGTTTGTTTGGTTGGTTTGTTTTTTGGTTTTTGTTTGTTTTTTTTTAAAACTAGGATCACTTTCAAGGGAACACAAGCAAAGATTCCTGGAGCTTGGGAGGAAATAATCTTTCTCAGGCTTGGGCAGTGGGCTGGGGGTAAAGTTGCATTTTTCTAATTCAAGCCAGGAATTCACCTGCAAAACATAGTGAAGTTCAGTTCATATCTGAGCATATCAAAGGAAAAGTAACGGACACAAACAGTTGCAAACTAAAAACATAGTCAGAAATAGGTGACCTCCCCTATCCTCCCCTCATCTTCCTGTTCTTAATCTCAGAAGTGGCAAATTTCAGAAAAATCTGCCCCTCTCTTTCATATCCTCCTCAGTAACTACTCCACTGCCGTCCAGTGCCGCGCTCCTCGCCTGACCCGCCACTGCCTCTGCAGAGCCAAACTCGGCGTCGCTTTGCTTCCGAGGCATTCCAGTGTCATACACAAACACAGCTGAAGTAAGCAGCTGTGTGAAGAAAATATAAAAGTTGTTTGTGTAGGTGTGTGCACAGCGTGTAACATGACAGTGCTAAGCACTTGGGGACAGCTTGGCTTGTTTCAGCATGAGCAACTCGCTGAATTAACAGCCTTAGCGTAACAGCTGGTATAAATACTGCCCACACGCTGCTTCTGCCTTGCCGCCTCTGCTTTCAAGCTGCACTTACTAGACACATGCAAGTCATGCAAGTAATCTGATTATTTTTACCTTGCTTTCATACTAGGGTGAGAGAGAAAGACAAAAAAAAAAAAAAAAGATCAAAATTACATTAATTGTAGCAAATGACACTTATTAGCAAGGTTCAAGTATTTCACAGTAAAGCAGATATACATCATTTACAAACAACATATAATAGATGGTGAGATTCTATACACACTAACAGGCTGTAATAATTAAAGGGGTTACACTGCAAACAGCTACCTTTAAAATGTAATATATCAGAGAGCTTTTATACTCTGTTGCTATAGTTGGTCGTGGCTAAAAGCAAACCATGTAAAAGAATTTGGCAGAACTGACATGACCTGATAATTACAAAGTCATGGGTACCTCAGTTTTGACTGTTTGCAGTAGCTCAGCTTTGCTCTAATCCCCCTTTCACTATTTTTGATCCTAATTTACCGTAACATTCATCTTGCCTCAGTGACTGATGAACCATAGCTGTAGGCAAAATGGTCACCGCAGGTCCAAGTCTAAGCAATTTCTAAGCAATCACAAAGGACTTGCTGGAAGATAATCGCTCTAGACATTTTGTTACGCGCTGGTGTGATTTCACAATTACATAATACAGTGTCATATTTCATGAGTAAAATAGATCTTAGATCTTTTTATTGCTGGGTGATTTGACATCAGAGGTCAGTTATTAACCTAATAAATTAACAAATACACCCGTTCTTTAGTTGAAGAACAGCCTGTGGACTAATCACAACAGTTCCTTGTGCACAAGACCTCTTCAAGGCTGTCATTACGGCATGTAGCTAAAGCTGACATAGATTAATGGGCTTGTTTCTCTGTTGCTCATCTGTTCATTGTAGCACAGAATTCTCTTGTCTTTGTCATTGTAAAACTGCTGAATATTCATTTAAACCTTAAGTAAGTTTTTTGGTCTATTTAAAACCATGTAATACTGTCACTAAATTCAAGTATCTGTTATCCCATTTCTTTAGTTTATTAAAGCTTAAGTTAAAGTTTATCAATAATATTATCCAATATTTTAAAAGTAAATACTGAGAATTTTATTTGTATAAGAAATTCAGGATCAGGCTTCTGAAGGGAAAAGGTTGCCATATTTCATTGTACTTACATTAAATATACCGAGAGTATTATATCATATGCCTTAAGTCCTGAATACAAGAGAGATTTAATCTAAGGAATCCAGAAATTTATGTCTACAAATAATTTTAAATGATACCTAAACACAATATTTTTTGTACTTATTGAAAGTATACTGACCCTGATTGTGCAAAAACATGCATACCCATTTAACGGCAATCCCATGAGGAATGGTCTGTAGTTTAATTTTTCTGCTCATGCACAGGGTAAACACTTGTGCTTAATTTTGTGGAGGTATGGAGCCATTTCTGTAAGTTTGAAGTCATAAATTCTACTCATCAAATAAAAAGTCAGGTACATCATGGTTCTTGCACAGCATCAGAAAGATGTACTGCACCGTTACTTCTATTTCCATTGTATTTATGTAATGTGAGCTGTATGAAATACACTGAAATACACAACATATGCAAATAAAGTATAGGTCTGCAGTGGCAATATAGGGTACATTGGGAACTCACCATTCACTTGCTGCAAGTGAACTTGAGAAATAAATACAGAGACTAACATTACACTGCATTTACATCTCCTTACCAAAGGTAAATAAATTGGTTTGAACCACATTACCTTAGATTTCTCAGGGTTGGCAATCCCCCAAAATATATTTTTTCATGCCCTTTTAAGTTGAGCCCAAAGTGGCTGCCTGTAGAAGTTGTTGCTATGGTCTCTTCTTCATTGGTGTCTATGTCTACAATTGATATGTTAGCTGGAAGACATTTGAGATTAGTTTCAAAATATCAGACATGAACAATGATGTCTTAATGTAAGAAACCAAGAGAAATATTTGAAGTGTTAGCAGGTGAGGGGAGAGGCAAGGAAGGTTGTATTTTGCAATTAAGACACTGGATTTCCAAATTGTCAATTACGGGCAGGGAAACAGACCTGCACTTTCCTTTGTTTCCATAACAACCTGAAAAGCCATAGCAATTCTGTATGCTTTATTTTTATATATTCTCTAAACCCATTTCAGTTTGGTATGTTCTTTGTGTCAATGTAATTTAGAGCTAACACTTCAGGACAAAGTCAAGACAGAAGAAATCATTGTACATTTAATTTGTGATTTCAGTCCAGAGGTTGTCACTTGAGCAGGATTTTTTAGTGTAAAAGTTTGTTAAACATTGTCATTATGTGCCTTAGAGATTGGTGATCAGTCACTCTAAACCATTTTCAAACCCAAAGCAGTCAGTTGCTGTCATGTCCCATCTCAATCTGGAGTCAGTGATGCGCTACATGCAACCATCCTATTTAAATGCCTGTTCCATGTGTATTTTTAATGTATGGATTAATACAGAATATAAAGTTCAATGAGAGAGACAAGACACTGAAAAATGCTGAGCAGCCCCCAAGGAAGAAAGGGATATTCTACCATAGGGATGCAAAGAAAGGGTTCTTTCTTTCCTTCTTCTTTCCTTCCTTCCATCCATCCATCCTTCCTTCCTTCTTTTTTTTTTTTGCCTTTAGACAGTTAAATGCAAGAGATTGCTTATAAACTACACTCCCCTGCCCCCATACCTAAGGCATGAAATGAACCTTTATTTTAACTAAAAAAGTAACCAGCCTGATTTCTGTTAAAGATGGAATAGAGTGAGTTTGGAGACGAAAGACCTGCCAACCTCTCAGGATATTTCAAAGGGAGGACTAGCTAGAACAGGTCATGTATAATCCATGGAGAGGAAGGAACGATGGGAGGATGGGAGGAAGAGTCTTCTCTGATAGAAGCTCTCCCCAAAGGTGAGTTTCTTGCAGCAGCAGCTGACTAAATAAATGCCTTAATGGAGAGAAGGAATGTGCAAAACCTGAAACCAAACTACCGTTTTCAGGAGTGAAAGAGAATTGCATGGGGGATAGACTTTCCTGTTGTACCTTACTGTAAACAGATTAATTTTCCTTTCATTTCTCTATCTGTATCTTCTTTATAAACACATGATATGTTCGAATGGTATTAATAAATTACAATTATGTGACAATGTATTTTATCTCAATACCTCCCAAGTGAAGTATGAACTAAGATTACTGGCTAGCAACAAGGCATTCTTTCTCTAAAGGTGTAGCAAATCTACAAGTGAGAGCTCTGAGTTATTTTGGCCAGTGTCCCAGCTCCCAAGTCTACTTCAGCCAAATGACAAGGGAGTGGGTCTGGGTTTGAGATGCGAAGGTCAGGTAGAGAGCTGGCACCGTAGGAGGCAGAGGAGGAAGAGTGTGTTCAGGGGCTTGTGGTGACCCTGAAGGTTCAGAATGCAGTAAGACTTCAGGATGCAAAGGCACAGGGAGTGTCACAGATGCCATAAATAAAATTAATTTGGCTCAGGTAAGATTCTACCAGTCCTATAACTAGATTAAAAACTAACAAACAAAAAAGGTTTTTGCCAGCATGATAGCCAGCATTCTTTGTGATCTTATCAAATGCCACCACTTCACATTTTGCACCAGTAGCAGGTTAAAGAACTAGTAGCACTTCTGAAGATGTTCCTACTTGTTCCCATGCAGATTCAGACCATGGCACACCGCATATCATTAGGGAATATAAAACTGTTGTTGTGTTTGTCTACTGAGATACTGTACTATCAGTACTGAAGTCATGGCTTAAGTGCTTTGGGGTATGCTGAGCATGAGAGGACTGTACAGCATGAAAACTACTGCTGTCCTAACAAAATTCACACAGGTTTGGCTTATGATTTTGAACAGTATCAGAGAACTGTTGAAAAATCTTCTTTTTTCCCCACGCAGAAGCATTTTAAAATGTAATTTACACAACTGTAAAGCAGAATTATGCCTGAAAATTAAGCTGTCTGTTCATAGAAGGCCTGTTTGACAGTGCAATCACTCACATGCAACTCAACACACCTGTAATCTAAGCAAAAGAAGTTGCTAAATCACTAGAACTTTATAATTCCAGCAATTTTGCACAACATCTTCCCCATGATTAGATGATTAGCTGTACTGCACAGGTAACTGATTGACACCGAAGGAACTCACCTTGCTTTTGAATTCTTGACAGGGTGAAAGATTTCCATTTGCCATCATTATGATTTTGGTTGCTGATAACAGAAGCTGTACCTGAACCCAGATCGTAGCTGACTTTTATACGCCCATCACTGAGTTCTACGCTCATGAAATCCTTCTGTTAATGAAAAGGATTAGATTACACAAATTATGATTCTTGCTCATTTTGGTAAGAGGCATATGACATTAAATAAACACTTTCTTTTCCTGGGTGACAATAGACAACTTTTTTCAAGCTTTTAAAAAATATACTTAGGCATTTACTGCCCAGGACTGTAATGTACAAAAGTCTGCTGCCAACAAGTTTTTTCCCCTTTTTGTCTCCTTTGGATTGCTAACTTAATTGGAATTTTGCTAACAACTTAGCTGGAGTTTTGACAGGATGTCTGTGCTTTTATTTCCTTAGATTGAAGACAAAAATACACATTATAATTACCTGAAATGAATCCTCAGCTTTGAGTATATGTCTGTACTACAGTTAGTGCATTTACTACGTACCTCAGCTAGATTTAAACTTGCAAGGTAGAACACAAGAATAGTAAGGATGGTAAAGGGCTTGTTTTACCAGGATTTCCAGAGAGTAATCTGTACTGATGGAGTAACAGAAAGCTATGAATTGTTATTCTCAACCACTGACACCAATATCTAAGCAGCAACTGGAGATGGCTGACTGGAGCACTGCTATACGCTGCAGAATCTACAGAAGAGCTGGCAGGATATAAAGAGCAAAACAAATAGCCAGGGAACTGGATAGCGTGAAAGGCGTTAAGTAAGCAATGGTGGCACTATGACCCAGGACATGAATGTACCAGAGAAATTCTAAGTTTAATTATCATTTTGCTCATGGTCTGTTCCACCTGTCCTCAGACCTAGGGAGAATGAAAATACGTTACCATGGGAGAATGAAAATACGTTACCATATGCTGAATAATTATGCAAAACTGTGATAATAATGTTATGTATATGAACATAAATTTATGTTAAGAAAAGAGTAAGATTTAACAAACTCAGTATTCTAGATGCTTATGCATGTCTATCCATGCATCACTAGAAAGAGCATCCTCCAAGTTTTTATACAGTGGGACAACATCTTAAGAGACAAATTATATCGGGGACCAGTTGCCTTCTAGCTCCCATTGTTTTTCAGAAGTTCAAGTAAATAATTTTTTCTAGAAAACTACATAAATTAATAAGAATTGTACAAAATAATTACACAAAATCATCTAAAATAATTATGCTTTCAATATTCAATTATAAAAGTTAATTAGAAAAACAACATAAGTACTTCATTATCATAATAAAATGTTATCTTTTACTATCGTCAGTCAGGAGGAGCACCCTCCTCCTTGATAATTCCCGCAATTCTGATAATGTTTCCCAAAATACAGGAATCTGAAATAAGACTGATTTACACAAACACAGTTTTTGTAAAATAGTGACTGCTTCATAATTCTTCAAGACATCAGTGAGAACTGCTGTACGTAAATTCTGGCCCATATGAAAAGGCTAACGAAAGGACTCTGTTCCCAGATAGGCGTGCAAATCAATCTGGATCAGAGATGCTGAAGCTGAGCTATTCCTGATTCATGTGAGGATCTGGCCAGATGTCTTTATAAATAACTTCTCCCTGTTATCCACACACATTTGATAGTGTGTGTAAATAAAAAACCTTGAATAGCCTTATAACTAATGTTTCTGTTCTTTATTTTAGCTGTAAAAGGCACGCAGCATTTGTAGACCTTGTAAAAACGTCATCACCATCACATCCTCTTTGTTGCACCATTCAGTTCCCCTTTAACGCCACTCACGTTACTTACTCTTTGTATCAGCAGGACTTTATCTAAGACTTGTCTCTTCCCATGTTCTCCCTGCCCTCACACTATGATATTTTAAACTATCAATGTACAACCATAACTGACAATGTTTGCACAGGTAAACATTTTAGATAAATTAAAATTAATTACTAATTTCAGAAAAGCTGGAATTCCCCTCAGTCTATCATAATGCTCCCCAGTCAGTAAACACTAGGGGTCAACTTCCACACTGTAACATTGTCTTCACTTGGACAGCAGTGAAGCAGCACACCAGGCAACATCGTACTAGCACAGTGCTACATTAAATTACTATTTGTTTTCCCAGCATGAGGAATTCAGCCACTGCAAAGATGGCATGAAACCTGTAAGGAGCGTGGAGGTTAGCTGGTTGTCCTTACCAAGTCATCGGTAGCAAGATACATCAGCAGGGCGTTCGATGAGAAGGTCCTGAATTTGAACATGACTGTGGAAATATTGGGGTTCCAGCGGATCGGGCGGCTCACCATGGCATAGCTGTCACCATCAAACTGGACCGTCCCTTCACCATCTGCCACCTGTGGGCTGAAAAGGAGCAATTCTAAGCGGTTTCCTTTGCCGTATGAGGTTAAAAGAAAAAAAAATGGGGCCTAGGGGAGTGAGGGGACAGCTCTTGGGAGTATTCCTGAACTTGGTTTGATTTCATATCAAACCCCCACTCTCACAAGTGCAGCTGTAAGGTCAGGTCACCAGATGTCCAACAGAAAAGCACATCTGGGAGGAAGAGGGAAGAGGAATATGTCACATACATCTCATGGTCTGTAAGGAGGCATTTTGCAATCCTCAATGTAAAATAGCATGATGTACTCTTTCATCTTGTAATAAATCTTGGTTTTGTTATTGTCAGTGATTTTACAACTTCTGGAGGGTCTCAGACTGAAAACTCTGGAAACTGTGATTCTCTGTTTACCCCAAATTACAAACATCACAAGACCAGTAGCATCAGGTTTTGGCATTCC